AAGTGCTGCTGCTAACCTCACACCACCCAGGCCTCCACCTCCCCAGGGAGTCTCCAAGAGGCTCGATCCTCTGCTCACTCAGCCCAGCCATCCGTAGCCCTGGGAATTCCACCTGCCAAGGATCCCAGCAGGCTGGACGAGGGATAGTAGGGCATGAAGAGAAGGAGCTCTGCAAGGACTGAGGCCCCGGCCAGCCCTTCTCCTCCACTGGTTCCCCAGGGCAGAGCTGGAGCTGATGCCTGGACACAGCTGCTGAGCCTGGCCTGGGCCTCTTACTCATTTGGTGGTTTCCTTGTCCCTCTATCTGTCTATCTACTTGTCTGGGCCACTCCTGCCTGTGTGTTGGTCTATTCCTGGGAAGCTCATCACTACTGGCCCTGACAGCTTCCCAGTCTGTCCCATACTGTTATCCATAAAACTATCTCTTTATCTGTGCTGGGCTGGAATGTGGTTCTTTCTCAGGTGGGGGTTTGGGGCAAGCGAGGTGGTGATGCCCTGGAAGGCTCCTAAGAAGGGAAAGGGCTCCCTCTTCCTCTTCTTCCCTCTCTCCCAGGGAGGGGCAGCTGGGCAGGCAGAATTAGCAGGTGACATCACTCTCACGGGTACAGTTCATGCCTTACACATGCAAATAGTGCCCCCTGAGTTGTGCAGAATTCAGCTCATGCTCTACTTGGCAGCGCTGTGAGCAGTGTCCTTGCCACCGACCTGGACTCTGTCTCATCCTGCCCAGCTGCCCCAAGGAGCCTGGCAGACTTGGAGCTCAGACCAGCTCTTCCTCCAGCTGCAGGGCCAGCGGCTGCCTCTTCCTAACAGCTGGGCCAGAACCCTAGGGTCCTGCCAAAGGAGCCTGTAGGTTAGGGTAGGGTGATGACAACTTCTGAGGCAAGGCTGACGGCAGGGGCCTGTAGCCTGGAGGACCTGGTGTCTCTTTTGCTCTCAGAGTCTGAGTGCTCACTGTTGCCTCCGGGATGTGGCGTTGCCTGTGCCTTCCGCATTGCCATCCCCTGCCCCGGCTCACCCACACCGGACTGTGGGCCCCAAGTTTGCCCTCTGCCTGTCCCCAGATGTTCTTGTCTAGCTCTTGGGGACAGATCACAGCTCCGGGATCTCAGCCTGGTCCTGAGCTTCTCATCAGGAGTGGCCTCTTAGTGCTACTCAACTGCTGGACTTGCAGAATGGGGCAGAGCCAAAATGACAGGCTTTAGAAGTAGAATAGCTTGAGGTCAAGGGCTGGGCATGGTGGCTCATGCCTGTAATCCCAGCACTTTGGGAGGCCAAGGTGGGAGAATCACTTGAGCCCAGGAATTCGAGACCAGCCTGGACAACATAGTGAGACCCCATCTCTATAAAAAATACAAAGGAAATTAAAAAACAAAAAAGTGCCTTGAGAGTCCAACCCAGCCTCCTCCTCATTGCCCAGTCACCTCGGGAAAAGCCTTCAGCCCTCTTGGCATGAGTTCAGTCTCTGTGAGGGGACGATGCTGTGGGATGATGTATGGGGCAGGCTGGGTAGTATGTGTAGCTGCTGCTCTTGCGGCCGGTGTCGTGGATTGGTCTTGGTGTCCCTGGCAGGGTCAACTCCGATCAAATTGGGCAGCCGTTGTGACTGGGGAGGTGCCATGCCTGGGCCGTGTGCTGCTGTCTTGGCGGCGCTGTGTCTTGGCCATTGATAGGAAGAGTGCGGAGTCCAGCCAGGTTCTTCTGGGAGCCTGGTGAGGGCAACACAAAAGGAGGAGGCAGCAGGTGGCAGGGAGCCCTGGACAGCTGCCTCCTGTGCTTCCTGGGCCTCTTGCCAGCCAGCCAGGGCAGAGCCCTGCTCTACTCTGGGAGTTGATGGTGGGGAGGGCTGCTTGCCAGCTGCATGTAGGGGGCTTGCATCCATCAAGCCATTCAATCAGCAAGTATTTCCTTAAGCTCCCGCTGTGTACCACGCACCATTCCAGGCTCTGGGGATACAGCGGTAAAGAACTCCTCCTCCTGAAGGAACTTGGAGTCTAGAAACTGATGGTGACCATTCAGCGTGGAATAGGAGGAGAAGAGGGCCTTGCGCACCCAGAAAGGGCTTCTGACGTGGGCAGGGCGGTCAGGGCAGGCCTTCTTGGCTTCCTCGGAGAGGGAACCTGAGAAGGGGCCTCTCAGGAACAGAGAGTAAGGGAACAGCACGTGCCTGAGGGGAGGCAAGCTCAGACCAGCGAGAACAGAGTGGCTCAGACAGGAGACACGAGCCAGACAGGTGGCAGGACTGCCGGCCTGGTGATCTGTGCTGTGCCGTGCTGCGGGGTCGCATTCCTCCTGGGCCAGTGGGGGCCTCTGGTGGATTCTGAGCAGGGCAGAGATGTGCTTAAGAGAGAACACTGGCTGAAGTCACATTGGAGGAGAGAGGCCAGAGGGAGGTGAAGGGTGCCCAAGCCGAGGCATGCCAGTGCGAATGGACAGGGGAGGGATTGCAGAATCGTTTAGGGGTGAGGTTGACAGCATTTGGTGGCTGGTTCGATCAGCAGAGTGAAGGGAGGGTAGGGACAGTAGGGCTGGGGCTCCTGGGGCTGTGGCAGATCTGGAAAGGGTTGGGGGAAATAGCCTTGCGTTTAAGTTAGGGGTGCCTGTGCGGGGAGGAGGGACTTCCACGGGGATGTTCAGGGCAGCTGGATATATTGGTGTGGGAGTCAGGAGAGAAAGCTGGGCTGGAGTTAGAGACTTGGAAACCACACATGTGGAGACAGGGCTTAAACCTCTGGTAGGGGGAGGAGAGAACAGGGCCGGGCCAGGCCCTGAGGACCCCAGCCCCGGTGGTCTGAGCAAAGCAAGAAGAGGTGTCAGGAACAAGTGCTGGAGAGGTAGGCGGAGAACCAGGAAAAGGCAGTGTGCGGACAGCCAGGGTGGAAGGTGTCTCGGAGGCGCACGACGTGGCCACGCTGCCAAGATGTCCAGGGAAAGGAGGATGGAAGAGTGTCCACTGGATGAAATGCCAGGGGGGTCCCTTGTGGCTTCAGTGAGAGCAATTTCAGGAACAGTATGGGAAGCCACAGGGCAGGGCCGAGGAGCCAGTGGGAGGGGAAGCAGCTTTCAGGAAACATGGTTGCTAAGAAGAGAGAGAAACAGGGATAACTGAGGAAACGGTAGGTGCAGGGCTCTCAGGACCCCTTCACAAATGAAAAATTGTGGAGGACCCCAAGAGCTTTTGTTTATGTGGGATATAGTTATTAACATTTACTGTAGTAGTGTGGTGGCTCACGCCTGTAATCCCAGCACTTTGGGAGGCCAAAGGCAGGCAGATCACTTGAGGTCAGGAGTTCAAGATCAGCCTGAACAACATGGTGAAACCCCGTCTCTACTAAAAAATACAAAAGTAAGCCAGGGGTGGTGGTGGGCACCTGTAGTACCAGCTACTTGGGAGGCTGAGGCAGGGGAATCACTTGAACCTGGGAGGTGGAGGTTGCAGTAAGCTGAGATCGTGCCACTGCACTCCAGCCTGGGCAACAGAGCAAGACTCCATCTAAAAAAAAAAAAAGTTTTCTGATTGTTTCTTTTCCTCTTTAGTTGGGAGAGACTTGAGCAGGGTGATGTTTGGGTGCCCAACCTTAGGCCGCAGCATTAGGGAATTTCAGAGTTAGCAGGGGCTACAGAATCATCCCATCCGTGCCTCTAGGACATCCTCCTGGAGGGCCAGGAGTCGCTGGGAAGGATCAGCCCATTCATTGCTTTTTATTGAGCCTACAACAGTCCAGGCCCCTTGGCCTCCCACTGCTGTGGGCAGCAGACAAACACAACCACTCTCACACCTGGCCTGGGAAGGGTGACGGGAGCTCAGGGACGGGCAAGGCTGGCTGGCTCTGGGGGCCTCAGAGAAGCAGTAGAAATCCAGCAGGTAGAAGGGGCATTCCGGCAAAGGAGAAAGGGCCACGCTGAGTGGCTGACGCTCTGGGGCACTGGGGAGGAGGCAGGAAGCTGCTCGGAGGTCCGATGGTAGAGGAAGTGTTAGAGGACAAATGTAGAGGACATTCTCTTGTAGAGAAGTTGACTTCTGTAGTGATGTTTGTGTTTTTTTCACGTTTTCCTTCCCACCGAAGGGTCTCTTGTTTGTTTTGTTCTTTTTCTTTGTTTTGTCTGCTTTAAGGTAGACTCGTGTGTTGTTCAGGCCCGGAGGCTTGTGCTTGTAGCCAGAGAAAGATGGGTTGCCGTGCACAGGACGTGGCGGGAGGCTGCTGAGATGTTCCAGGCAGGTGCTGGTGAGGCCTGGAGGAAAGGCAGGAGCTGGGACGGTGGTGGATCTGCCTCCTGGCAGCCCGCTGGAAATTGAAGCAAGCAGGAGGGAGGAGATTGAGGATCCTAGGATTTTGCCAAGAGGGTGGGGTCTCTCATCAGCAGGGGACAGGGACCGTGCAGGAGGATGTGGCCTTCGTGTACCTTTCTAGGGCTGGTGGGGGTCTCTCCAGGTTGTCCCCCAGGGGGCTACAGGAAGGACCGCATTCCTCTGAGGGCTGTCATGCCCTTGAAGAAGGAAATGTTAGTTGGAGAAGCAGAAGGTGTGGGAAGAAGGACCACAAATGGGTGAGACTCCCCCGTTCCCCAGGCCTGGATCGGAAGAGGTGTCGGATGCTCCAGGGCCAAGGCCAGGAGAGGGGAGGCAGTGATCACAGGGCGTGTCCCAGATGGCCGGAGTGTGAGCAGAGGGCCCCGCCGCTCCGTGAGGGTAGGGCGACCGTGGATCCCGGCATGGCCAGGTCAGCCCTAGTTTATTCTGTTGTTCTGCAGTAATTATGACTTTGACTCTCAAAAGTGTCCCAGTTTGGACACTAAATTACATGGTGGCTGTAGAGAACTGGGACACAGCAGGGTCACTTTATTAATGGAGCTGGTGGCTGTCAGACGGGCTTGGCCAAAGCCTGCAGGAGCCTGTCCTCTACCCTTCATCGCCAGCCCAGCGACTGGGGCCCCGCTCAGGGCACAAAGCCCGGGGTGGCGGCCAGGGAGGACCGCTGTCCTCTAGCCTTCCTCTTGCTGCCTGTGGAGAGTCCCCTGCAGCCCTGTCCTTCCTCCTCAGCGCGCCCTGGCCTCACCCTTGCCCCAGGCATTTCTTTGGGCATGAGGAGAGCTCGACACACCCTGAAGGTTCAACCAGGTCCTCAGCCTTTCCTGGTGGCACCATCTTTACCCCAGGGAACTCAATTTTCTGTACCCCCACCCCGCCCCCCAGCCCTAGCTGAGCCTTCCTGCCTCTCCTCCCTGCCTGGGACTGCGCTATGCACTCCTGGCTCTCACCCCCTGTGCCTCTGTTCCTCCGCCTGGCACTGCTGTCCCCATTTTGGCTCCATCCTGGCTCCTGCCCCTCACCAGGCCTCTGCCCGGACCATCCGCTCCCCAGGAAGCTTCAGCCCTGGGGTGCCTATGCCCACAAGCCCACCCCAGCCCTGACACCTCCCAGCCGAGCCAAGAACCTGGGTCCGGGCTCCCTCCTCAACCCTCAAAAGTTCTGCCCATCTTACCTGCCCTGAGAATTTACAGTACCTGCCCTACTTCCACCACTGTCACCCCACTCTTTCCAAATGCATCTACCATCCTGTTCTGTGCCCTGTATATTCATTTTCCACATAATTTAAAATGCAGGTCTGGCCAGGCCCCCTCCACACGGACAACCTGGGTCCTGCTCTCCCCAGACCCCAGCCACCTGCGACCCCTCCTGCCTCACGCTACCTGTGGCCACTCAGCCTTTGCTCCTGCTGCTGTCCCGACTGAGACGTCCTTCTAACCACCTTGCCCACCCTCTCTCACCCCTCAGCACCTGCCCTGGCTTCACGCTGCCGCCTCCCAGCCACCTGGTACCCTCCACAGCGCCGCCCCTGCCGCTTCTGCCCAGATCTGTTCTGTGCCCAGCCCGTATTATTGGCTTGATCTACTTGCAGGTCTGTCCTCACCAACTCGAACACCCCCGAGGGCAGGAACGGTTTACCTCAGCATAGAGCACAGTTCCAGGGCCCCAGGAGGAGCTCAGAGGACCTGTGGGAAATGTGGTTCCTATGGGCAATGACTCCCTGAATGCAACGTCACGTGTCACCTTGGAGGGAAAGACCCGATAAAAACCTTAATCATATTCAAGGGTAAGTGCCAGCCTGCCTCCCCAGGCTATTATTCAATCTGAAGGATTATGTGCAAGGTGCAGGAATGTGGGGCTGGAAGCCACATGGGCAAGGGCAGACCAGCCAGGCATGGCGGCCCTGGCGGGTACCTGATTGCGGCAGCGCAGACCACGCTGCTGGCCCCCACCTCCATCTTGGCTGGGTTCGTTTCTTTCTTCCTTGATCTGTCTGTGAGAGGCCAGAGCCCCAAATGCATACCAGGGGAAGGGGCTGCCTCTTGCTAGTTCCCCCACCTGGGGTGCTAAGCTAGAGGGGCATTTGCGTCTTTCATGGAGTGGCGTCCCCACACCCACCATCTCTCTCCTGTCCCGACAGGAAAGGAGCTTGGCTTTTCCTGGGCACAGCCTAACGGTGTTGGTGACCGGGGTAGGAAGGGGACTCGGGTGAGTAACGTACCCACCTGTGGCTTCCCTCAGCCAGTCATGTCCAGCCAGGCACAGCCCCTCATGGGGCCCGGTCATGTCCTGTGCCAGGCAAAGAGGGTGGCAGGAGAAGGGGAGGGGCTCTGGCAGGAGGGACGGGGAGTCCATGAGTGGTGAAAGCTGATGACAGGCTGCTCACATGGGATGCCTTCCATAGGAGCAGGCCCGTGCCTATGGGGTTTCCAGAGGGAGACCCGGTTCCTTCTCGCAGGCCGCCTGCAGCCGTACAGTGTGATGTGCACTGACAGATGGGGGCTGGTGGGGCAGAAACCTGGGACATCCCTGCCACAGACAAGGACCTTCTCACCTTGGGGCTTGTACCCTTCTCCATTTCCTCATCCTAAAAATCTCATCCCTACCAGCTCTACCCTAGCTAATTTGTCACTCAGGCTCCAGGGCTCAGCTGAGATGTCACCTCCTCTAGGAAGCCTTCCCTGAACCTTCCCTACCCCTGACCACCTAGGTCTGGCTTTGGGGCCCTGCCATGCATCTCTGCCACTCGTGCTGTTTCTCTTGCAGCTTCTATTGCACCATGTCCTCGTCGATTCTTCTTCATTCTGTGAGCCCAAGGGGGCAGGGACCAAGGTCACGTATCCCAGCAGAGCCTGCGCACAGGAGGTGCCTAGGTCGTGTTGGTTGGCTGAAAGCCCTGTCACCCAGCAAGAGGCAGGCAGTGATGAGGGGACCTCAGAGGGGTGCTCTGGACTGTTACCTCAGAAGAGGAACTATGCAGAGTGGGGCGGGCTGGCTGGGGATGCAGCCGAGGGAGGAGGCTGACCTCCCATGGCCACCCCGCACCTCCACGTGCACCAGGGCTTGCCCCCGGCTCAGGGCACTGGACTGCTGTTTAGATGCAAAGAAAGAGTCCTGGGCTGGGAGTCTGGAGGTTCCAGTCTCTGTTTTCAGCAGTGTGTTTTAGTCAAGGCACTTTTACTCTCTCTGGACTTCTGTCTCCTCAAATGCAAAATGAAGAGCTGGACCGGAAACTTGTTCCATCCAGTTCCAATATCTCCTCTTTTGCACGAAGGACGTGGGCTTGGAGTCAGAGGAACTGGGTTCAAGAGCTGGGGCTCCATTTACCAGCTGTAAGTCCTTGGCCAGGTTACTTAATCTCCCAAAGCTGCAATTTTCTCACCTGTAGAGCGGGACTGACAACCATTAGCTACCTCTCAGATTCTTGGGATTAGATATGCTTTCGGGTGAAAACGCTCCATACACTTTAAGGCACTATGTGACTGCTGGTTATTATTGTGGTTATTTTTTCTTTTCTATTTAATTAATTAATTAACTAATTATTATTTACTTAGCAACAGGGTCTCCCTATGTTGCCTAGGCTAGCCTCAAAACCCTGGGCTCAAATGATCCTCCCATCTTGGCCTTCCAAAATACTGGGTTTATAGGCAGGAGCCACCCACCCAGCCTGGTTGTTATTGCTCTTGATAGCATTATTTTTCACCAATACCTAATTAGTTATTTGATGATCTCTCATCTCACTAGAGCTAAGCTCCAGGAAGGCAGGAGCTGGCATGTTCCTGTTTTGTTTTGGTTTGGTTTTGGTTTTTTGTTTTGTTTTATTTTGTTTTGTTTTTTTGAGACGGAGTCTCTCTCTGTTGCCCAGGCAGGCTGAAGTGCAGTGACACAACCTCGGCTCACTGCAAACTCCGCCTCCTGGGTTCAAGCGATTCTCCTGCCTCAGCCTCCCAAGTAGCTGGGATTACAGGTGCCTGCCACCATGCCCAGCTACTTTTTGTATTTGTAGTAGAGACGGGGTTTCACCACGTTGGCCACGCTGATCTCAAACTCCTGGACTCAGGTGATCCGCCCGCCTCAGTCTCCCAAAGTGCTGGGATGACAGGTGTGAGCCATTGCACCTGGCCTCCTGTTGTATTACAGTTGTGAGCTACCGCGCCTGGCCTCCTGTTGTATTATAGGCGTGAGCCATTGCACCTGGCCTCCTGTTGTATTACAGGCGTGAGCTACCGCACCTGGCCTCCTGTTGTATTACAGGCGTAAGCTACTACACCTGGCCTCCTGTTGTATTACAGGCATGAGCTACTACACCTGGCCTCCTGTTGTATTATAGGCGTGGGCCACTGCGCCCGGCCTCCTGTTGTATTACAGGCGTGAGCCACTGCGCCCGCCCTCCTGTTGTATTCTTGGTGGCCAGCTCGAAGCCTGGCTTATCTTAGGTCCTTGAAAGAATTTTGCTCAATAAATAAATGGCTAAATGAGTTGAATGGAATGAATACACGAATGAATGAACTCCACTTACTTAGCAGGGCAAATAAGATTGACTGGGCTGGGCCGGGCGCGGTGGCTCAAGCCTGTAATCCCAGCACTTTGGGAGGCCGAGGTAGGAGGATCACTTGAGCCTGTGAGCAGTGAAACCCTGTCTCCACTAAAAAATACAAAAAAAAAACTAGCCGGGCGAAGTGGCGGGCGCCTGTAGTCCCAGCTACTTGGGAGGCTGAGGTGGGAGAATGGCGTGAACCTGGGAGGCGGAGCTTGCAGTGAGCTGAGATCCGGCCACTGCACTCCAGCCTGGGCGACAGAGCGAGACTCTGTCTCAAAAAAAAAAAAAAAAAAAAATTGACTGGGCTGGAGGGAGAGAGGGAAGCGTGGGAGGAGGCAGGGAGCAGAAATGCCTCCTGGGCCGCCCAGGCTGTGTTGCATTGGTAGAGGCAGGAGGGAAATAGGGAAAAAAACAACTAAGGGCAGTGAGGCAAGGCCACTTCCCAATCCTGCCTGGGCGAGGCGCCTTGCAGGGGCCCCTGTGTCTGAGCCCTCTCTCTGGACATGCTCTCCTCTGCTTTTCACACCCCCTGCCAGGTCAGCCAGCTGAGGAGAGGGCGGAGGAAGGAGGGCTGGCTGCAGCCAGGACATTCTGGTTTGTTTACCAACAGCACAATCCTCCTGGGCCATGACACAGTCAGCAGCATCTGACCCAGTTAAATATATCTCCTCTACCGGCCTGGACCACACAGCCAGCCCCTGCAGGCCACGTAGACCAGGGACCACCCGCTCATCCTTCTGGCTTGGCGCTGGGCCTCCTCCTGACCCCAGAGCCTTGCGTCCCCAGGGAGCAAATGGCTGATCCGGGTCTGAAATAAACTGCAGTCTCTAGTTGAACTCATGTAGATAGTTTCATCTTGGACAGAATCGGAGGATTTAAGGGGGAAAACTCTATTTGTCCAGCAGTAAACAATAAAATAGCTCATCTCCCTTGGACGGCATATTTGCAGTCATTATGAATGTTTATGAAGAGTGTCTGCTAATGTTAAGAAACATTTTAGTCTCTTTACATAACTCTCTATTAATGTTATTACTCTAGTGTTAAGTGGTACAAAAAGCATACAAAATTAGATACATAACGTGAGTATAATCCTGTTTTTTAAAAAGCATATAAATATGTCTGGAAGGAATCGCAAGAAACTGTCAACGGAGTTTGCCTCCCAGGAGGAGAACTGGGCTCTAGGGGATGAGATGGGAGAGACTTTTTCTTTTTATGCCCTTTTGTATGCTTTTAATTTTGAACTGTGCAAGTTTATTATGTATTCATAAGCAGATAAGTAAAAAAATAAAATAAAATACAGATCTGACAAAGAAAACGCTTTTATGCACAAAAAGAGAGGGGCCAGAAATAACACTCAGAGGTAGAGAGTACTCATGTGGGTGATGGGCAGTGAAGAGAGGCTCCCTTCTCTACTGAGAGAAAAGCTGGCCTTATGCCCAGATAAACCAAAACGTCCGCCTTACAAACCGGTGCAAGTCATTATCAAAGCTCAGCATCCGAGGCGTAACAAAGACATACCTGCCTTAAAATATTTCCCCACGGCACCTGAAATTGCAGCCTTTGGAGTCGTTCCTTAGTCTGAAGTACAGCTTCTCCAAAGTCTCCTTGCAAACATTCAGGGGCAGCGGGTGTTACCATGTTATTTTTATGTTTAGTTTTATATTATTTTTTGAGATGGAGTCTTGCTCTCTGGCCCAGGCTGGAGTGCAGTGGCATGATCTCAGCTCATTGCAATCTCTGCCTCCTGGGTTCAAGCTATTCTCCTGCCTGAGCCTCCTGAGTACCTGGGATTACAGGCGCTTGATGCCACGCCCGGCTAATTTTTTGTATTTTCAGTAGAGACTGGATTTCGCCATTTTGGGCAGGCTGGTCTCGAACTCCTGACCTCAGGTGATCAGCCCACCTTGGCCTCCCAAAGTGCTGGGGTTACAGGCATGAGCCCGCGCCTGGCCATGTTATTTTATCACATGGACTGAAATGAAATAGGGAGACACACTGTGAGAAAGTTTTCATTGGGACTGGGCATGGTGTCTTGCTCCTGTAATCCCAGCACTTTGGGAGGCCGAGGTAGGAGGATCACTTGAGCCTGTGAGTTTGAGACCAGTTTGGGCAATATAGTGAGACCTTAGCTCACAAAAAAAAATTCTTTTTTAAAAAGAAAGTTTTGATTCATTTCTTGTTTTTGCGTTTATTTTTAATTTCCCATACAAATATAAACTTTCTCCTAATAGCACTGATTATAAAATAGCACATGATCAAGTAGCAAATTTGGAAAATACAGAATGTTATAAAGAATTTAAAAATCAAGCTTGGTGGCTCACGCCTATAATTCGTGTACTTTGGGAGGCAGAGGTAGGAGGATGACTTGAGTCCAGGAGTTCAAGACCAGCTTGGGCAACATGGCAAAACCCTGTCTCTAAATAAATTAAAATCAGCTGGGCATGGTGGCATACATCTGTGGTCCCAGTTACTTAGGTGTCTGAGGTGAGAGGATCACTTGAGCCTGTGAGGTTGAGGCTGCAGTGAGCCAAGATTGTGCCACTGTACTCCAGCCTAGGTGACAGAGTGAAATCCTCTCTCTCAAAAGAAAAGAAAAGAAAAGAATTTAAAAATCGAACCATGTACATCACATCCCGGAGGGAGCAGAGAGCCTGGCACATTCCAAGAGAAAAAAGGAAAAAAAAAAATGATGTGAGCTAGATAGCAGTGTTGCAGGCTAAACTTGCAAGGCCTGAGGACCCCATTAGCTCTGCAGCCTTTGTTGAGCCCAGCAGGAAACCACTAAGGACTTGGAAGCAGAACAGGGACAGAAGTGTTTTTTGTTTGTTTACATGCGGGATCTGCTATTGTTGTCCAGGCTGGTCCTGAACTCCTGGCCTCAAGCAATGCTCCCACCTCAGCCCCCAAAGTAGCTGGGATTACAGGGATGAGCCACTGTGCCTGGCTCAGTGACAGGGTTTTAAAAGAACACTTGAGCTGGGCCAGGCACAGTGGCTCACACCTGTAGTTCCAGCATTTTGAGAGGCTGAGGCAGGAGGATCGCTTGAACCCACAAGTTCAAGATCAGCCTGGGCAACATAGTGAGATCCTATCTCTACAAAAAAAAGTTTTTTAATTAGCCAGGTATGATGGTGCACCCTTGTAGTTCCAGCTACTCAAGAGGCTAAGGTAGGAGGATCTCTTGAGCCCAGGAGGTCAAGGTTACAGTGAGTTGTGATCATGTCACTGCACTTCAGCCTGGGTGACAGGGTGACACCCCTGTCTCAAAATGAAAGACAACACTTGAGCTGTAGATTGGATCACAATAAGAGGTATCCATTATGCTTGGAGAAATTTAAAAGTGAGATAAAAGGTATCCTGGAATAGACTGTTCATATGTACTGGAAATAGAAAGGAATATGAGAAGTAGGATATGCTAGAAATGCAGAAATAAAATGACAGTAAAAAAAAGAACTTAGAAATCATTCATAATTCCACCCTCCAGGAAAGCTGACTTCCTTCTAGTGCTCCCTCTTTGTGTCCTACTTTTCTCCTAAGAGTATATTCTAAGCATTGTCCCATGATATCAAATATTCTTGAGAATATGATGTTTAATGGCCACCTAATCATTCTATCATATAGATATGCAAACATTTATTTGACCAGTCCTGTGTTGTGAGGCATTCGGGTTGTCTCAAGTTTTTGCTAGGTTCAATTATGCTGTCATGGACTTTTCGTCCAAGTTGGATGTAACAGAAAACCTAGTTCAAACAAGCATGAAGCAAACAGGAGTCAGTGGTGAAACTCAGCAGTGAAGAGGAAAGAAGCTTTGGGCAAGGCTCAGTCAGGGATCCTGCTCCATTTCCCTGGAGTTCTTCAGGGTTTGCCCTTCTCTGTTGGCAGTGGTGCCCTCAGGCTGGCTCCTCTGCAGCCCTTGGGTGATAAACTTTTCTGTTCGTGACCATGGGAGTGGCCT